TTAAAATTTACATTAAATTCTCAAAAATAATCATAATATTATTTAAATAATATTAATTTTAATTTTAAATATTATATATTTTTATATATTATAATATTTCAAAATATTTCAAAAATACTATCTAGTGTCCTAATTCCAAATTCGTACCACTGGCATTAGTGCCATAAGAAATAAATAAAAAAAAAATATATAAAATAAATATAAAATAAATATAAAATAAATATATATTAAAAAATTAAAAATAAATTAAAAAGCTATACAAATTTATATATGCATCGATAAATACGTACTGTTACCAAAATGCGATCTATCACGGCGTATCCGTAAAGGAAAATATCTACAAAGATTATCGACGTCCTAAAGATTTACTACGTGTCACGCAAAAGGGTCGTCGGCCAAATTGTTTTACATTGATTTTCAGGTCGGGCAGACCGGTACGGTACCGCGACCACTGCCCACACACACAGAACACGCACACACATACACATACACGATGTCTCCGCAAACGTATTGTGGTTTCCAAGGCGCTTATTTATGCGCGGCCCGGCGTTTCCGCCCTTTCCGCTTGACGTTTAGGGCCGTTGACTCGCCTGACTTGGTCGTCGTCGTTCGATGAAGCCTCTCTGTCGTCGCTCTTGTGCCGATGCACTGCCGTCACTTTCTCGATCTTCGCGAATTTTTATCGCGAGCAAATCTCTCAGACGCGCGACTTTATAATACTAATATTATTAATTTAAAAAGAAACGGAATTATGGCGAATATAGTGAATTTTATTCCATTTGCCATGAAAAATGTTTGCAATCTGTCAATGCAAAAATAAGATTGTGCCAGAAAAATTCTAATATATTTGCTATGAAAAATATATGCATAAAAATGTCTGCCTAATAAAAATAAAAATAAGATCGTACAAAAAGAATTCGAATATGCATACATAAGAACAAAGAGAAAATAAATACGATGAAATAAGAAAGCGTATTATGGGATAGTGTAATCTTTCAGATTGCGTGCTTTGTACGAGCCTCTAGAGGAACATTCTTCTCTTGCGTTATCAGTACAAGAAGAATGTCCCATTCATACTTTTACACACCGTTTATGGACGCGTTATGCGCCGTATCAGTCTTATCAGCACTTCTAAGCCGCCTGCAATTTAATGCATGCGTATGCGCGTGTAGAGCTATCGGTAGAGGAAAGATTGTGGGCGCAGAAAGCGCTACTTGCGGTGCAACAGCCGCATGAACCTTGAGAATTCGATAGAACTTCCATCAATTATAAGCAAAGCAGAATAAATAGAAATTATTTCAGATCAATATTATTCGATGTATATAGATGTCCGCGATAATTCTTAATATTACATACTTATTAATTAAAATTAAAAGGCTGAAATAATATATAATCGTTCTTCTTCCCACACATTTATCTTGCGCCGTCATCCGCAAGAGTAGAAACGGATCTATTCCGCTGATTGTGTACATCCGAAGTGAAGACAAACGATAACGACTATCGTTGCGAAATATCATATGTTTCAAAACGCTGCCAGAGGCGACGATGTGGACACGCGCGCCGTTATTCGGCGGGAATTTGTCAAGTCCATGAGCTCTCTCCGCGACAGGCGGCGTCGCTAATTAGATGCAAGATACGAAGCTACGTTTTACTAGGACGAATCCATTAATATCGCCTTCGACAGATGGGCACGTGTCCGCAAACCCGGTGGTCTCGAGGAGAGGGAGGATTTCTCGCGCCGTGTCATTAATCATTGAAACAGGAACAGCGGAGCTCGGATCGCTTAGAAAGCGCCTGATTTCTCGCAAAGACATCGATTCGTCCCGAGAATCCGCAATTTTCGTATATCGTTAATCCTGCGATGGATGATATCTTCTACGAGAATTACATATTTATGATATAAAACTTGTACGCGATTTCATTAGTTTGCACGTTGTTGCGGCGAGGATCCATATCGCGCATTGAAATCTCTCGATTGCGCGTAAATCGCGCGACTACTCCATTCAATTTTCATTTTTTCCGATATATATAAAAAAAATAATATGTAAATATAACTTTTACACGTTAATAAGAAAAGAAATTAATTATTTTACGCACATTATTAGTATCTTTTATTTTTCTTCTTATTATACATATTATTATTTTAATAATTTCTTACAAATCATGATCTCTCTATAATAATTCTTCATATATAGTAATACTATCTTTTTTTTAAATATTACTACGTTATATGGTTCATTTTATATATATCTCAATATAATGTAATAACATTTAAAAAATTATTAATGGAATAATGTAAGAAATATAGTATTATGTATAAATGATTAATTATTACGAAATTGTAAATATTTTCTATTATTATAAAATTTATTTTTTATTATATTTATTACACGATTTATCATCCATAGATAAAGTGACTTTTTGATTGACTCTTTTACTTGAATCAAAAAGAAGCCTGAGAGCGGCCATGCCTCCGATTTAAATGGAACTCGTATTTGAAGCGCCTCTATATCCACAAAATGTGGATATTGAATTACATAGTCATGTCCATGAAACTTCTCAAAGTGGTTCTGTTCCGTGCTATGTGCACAAAGTGCCGGTGTTAGGAATGCAAGACAAGTTATATGTATACATATACACAGAGAGAAGCCTCTTTGATATACATATATGTATACATGGAGATTTATATGGAAAATAGCTATATACAATATATAGAAATTTATTCATTATATGATTATATCACCTGAAAATAAGATATTTTTTATCAGACTATTAATAAATAATTTATATATTAGGAGCAGAGAATAAATACTATTTCTGTTCTTATTTCCTGTTGCCTAGCATTGTGCAAGGGTTAGTTTAGGTTTAATTTATTGCGATACTTTGCGATATTTTGGGACGCAGGTTAATATTAATTATCTAGGTATAGTTTAAGATTAATTACTTTGCGATATTTTACAATATCTTGCGATATTTGTAGCGCAGAGTATTAAATCGATGATGATGAGTGGAAATAAAAACTGATGATGATGAGTAGATGAGTAGTTCTGTATCAAAGGGTAGTTTAGGTTTAATTTATTATGATACTTTGCGATATTTTGGGCCGCAGAGTATTATTTTGTACCTAGAGATAGTTTAGGTTTAATTTGTTGCGATATTTTGCGATGTTTGGTATCGCAGAATTATATTCGTTATTTAGGGATAGTTGAGGAATAATTACATTGTGATATTTTACAATATTTTGCGATATCTTGGGGTGCAGACTATTATTCTGTACTTAGGAGTATAGTTTAGGTTTATTTATATTGCGATATTGTGCGATATTTGGAGACGCAATGTAATATTAATTACCTATAGATAGTAGGTTTAATTACAATGCGATATTTTGTGATATTTTGCGATATCTTGGAGCGCAGATTATTATTCTGTGTTTAGGAGTTGTTTAGGAGTTGTTTATTTATATTGCGATATTTGTGGGCGCAGTGTAATATTAATTATCTACAGATAGTATAGGTTTAATTACAATATAATGGGAACACGAAATAAAACAATTGAATTATAATGTAAATAATTAATATAACGAAAGATTTCATGATGAATAGTTTAATAAATAATCAATTAATCTTAATCAATAAATTAAAATACTTCTATAATTTAATATTCCTCGCGCAAATATTTTATATTACAGAAAATATTTCGGCAAAGAGAAAATTATCAATAATATCGTATTCGATCTTCATAAACAGTATCGCGCTATTATTAATATGTTACATGGCTTTATTATCATTCGCACAGTGGTTCTTGAGTAGACGTGAAAGACATTTTACATACCATCAAATTCTTTCTTTATATATTCAACCTTGGCGATAAACAGTATCGCGATTATTCGCTCAGTGGTTCTTGTGCAGTGAAATAGTTCAAATAATTGACATTTATGTAGCGATCAATTTATTATGCAATCGGTAATCTCCCGCATGATAAAAAGATTACGGGTTCCACCTAAATCGGGAGCATGGTCGCTTTCAGACTTCTCTCTGCTTGAATAAAGTGAATCGTTGTGCCATCTATGGCATAACATGAGCAATTGTGTGTGTTAAATATGAAAATTGATAAAAGCATTTTTGTTAGCAATAAACATGCATTTGCAGTTGAAGACTTAAATCATTTAATTGTTATTATATGTTCAGTAGTGTGCGATTTTTGTTACAAAAAAAATAATATACAGAATTATATACTATTTATAATAGTAGGATTAAAATGATTTTGAAAATTCGTTCAATGTTGGTATAATATAAATAGAAATTTATTTTTACATCAAATATTTATTTTTTACATATATTATTTATTTAATGATATAGAAAATATAACTTCTAGAAAAATTGTATAATCTCTATAAAATCACCAGAAAAAACAATAGCCGTATAAAGAAACTTCTAACTGAATTTAACGTGATGCTATTATAATTATTTTAACTTATTTATTAAACGAGATTCTAAGCTTGCAAATAACTTGTAGTTTGTTGCGGTTTGGACGGATATTTCAAAAGGCTTCTCTCAGTCTTTTATTACATTATAAAATCTTATCATTGGCTAATTAATCGTACGTTAATTTGTACATTAAAACTTAAAGTAGATTAAAACTTAATAGAATAGCGATAAGTAGAAAAGCGACACGATTAATGTTAATTGAATTTATATAAATGTAATCGCGCGTTACGTTTGATGCAGCATAAAATTGCTTTTAGAATTGCGATTTTTTAAAGCGTTATAAATATGCTAAAAGCGACGCGTATATTAAAAATATATACATTACGTAAATCTATATATAAAAGTTTGTAAAAGTATATGAGAATTGATAATAAAAAGGCAAAGTTTGTCTGTTAGATAACTATCGAGAGAAACTTTTAAATTATATTATTATTTTAGTTTATATTATTAAAGATAATACGAAATTATCTTATTATTAAAGATAATTTCGTATTATCTTTAATATATCTTTAATAATTTTTAATAGATTCATGTTTTTTTATAGACTATTTGAGTAAATCTAAATGGAGATTCTCTTTTACGTTTCTTCTTGATAACTTTAATGTATACGTATCTTGCTCTTTCGCTTTTATATTGTACTTCCCTTTAAGGCCACAAAAGTTCTATGTTGGGAGACTGCATCTTTGCGAATATTTTGTACATTGATAAAACAACTAGCCAACAATATATCTGGAAAAAAAACAAGGATGCATTTTACCAGAATAAATTACCAGAAATAATTTTAATAATGCATATAAACATTATAAATACACACAAAATACACACTTACATTATAACCCATCCAAAGCCAGTTGCACAACGTCGCGAACACAGAGTCCAACTAAGACAAAAAACATACGCGATATGATTGCGTTTATAAAAGAAGAATTATCATCAAAGAAGAAAAATAAAGACTCACATAAATATAATAACCGCCTAAAAGCCACAGTCCGAAGACGAATTGGAACAAGCAAACAATAAACCATGCAGTAAGCCATGGCAATAACCATCCACGTACGCCTTCTTTTACGCCGTAAACCATGAATAAGGCGCATACGATTAACAGAAACAGATAGAAGATGAGGAAGCCTCCAACAATTTGCATGGCTAAAAATGAGCATTCTTATTTTCTCTTTTTAAAAATATGATAATAAAATTATCGTAAAAACTAAAAGTCATATAAGACACGGATTTTCAAAACCAATTTTCTTGAAACCAAAGACTTGAACAAAAAAAAAATTATTTCACAACTTGGATTTACTTTTACACGAGAAGTCACATTTTGCATTAAAAACGATGCAAGTATATCGAAAGTATCTCCATCAAAAAACAAAATATCATGTATTTATATTTTTACATCTATCACATGACCTGTGTTGTACTTACACAATCTTATATCAGCCTCAAATAATGGATTGTATAATTGCGTGGACTCGCCTCCAGCCATTTGATAGGCTATTAACGTAATTAACACTATAGAAATTGCCTGAAAGAAATTAGAAATCGATTATATCCATATTAAATTCCACATTTTTTAAATTTTGTTCCCTGCTAGATATACTCGAACACTATCAATGCTTCTAATTTTATGAAACTCCTTAATTACAATCAATTAAGGTTCTTACCACAGTATAAAACGCTATAGCATTGCAGCCAGTTTTAACACTGTTGGACCAAACGCATGGTGTCCAAAAAGATTCCACGATCGGCATCTTTCACGCTGAAATGAAAATGAAAATTTAAGGAAACATAAAAAAAACGCGCGCTTCAATTAACAACGGTGATCATTACGAGCGGTTGTTATAAAATTTGGGCGTCGACATGCGTCAGAGTTACCAACATAAATACGTATCGAGAAAATTGCGATTAACCGTAAAATTAAATAGTTTGCAAAATCGTTAACTCGCAAAATTTGACATCTAAACAATTATATTATTGTTTATTTCCGATCAATTTTGAAAATGCGATAAAAATGCGCCAATAATTAACATCCCATGCTACAAGAAGCGAAACGTTTAGAAGACACAGATTGGATTTCTCGCTGCATAAATTGGACGAATATTTCGTTCGATGAAATTAAAAAAATATTCACACTTTATAAACAGATACGTCACTTCTCACTCGAAACAATATCGATAATTTTAACTTGAGGTACAGCTCGCATGTTTTTCAATGCCATGACACACGATGCGGTGACACAGTTGATTCATATGGCATGCCCAGGAATTTTTGAAAGTCGCTCGTTTTTCGATGTTACTTACGATTTTTGTAAGACAAAGTAATTTCAATTGATTTTTTTTATCGTAAGCACGGATCACCGCCACGATCGCCGAGATTCGAGTATTCGAATCGTTTCGAAGTAATAGAGAAACAGGAAAATAATGCCATGCACGCATCGATGGACGCACAATTAATGGCGTCGTGGTCACCATTGATGATCCCCTCCACTTTACGAGCAAGTTACAACGCCGACTATCTCTCTTTTTCTAAAACATGTAACTCTGCGTCGATTTACCGCTTTAAGCTGCGGATAACTACGAATATCATGTATTATAATAGTGTAATTGCAATTATATTTAATATGTAATTAAGTCATCTATGAAAACATTTGTTTTCGAGATTTTAGTAATATTTTTTTTGGACATAATATCGAATTTTATTTTAATTACATATTTAATTTATTTCTCTTTCTTACATATATTTTACATATATTTTAATTACATATTTAATTTATTTCTCTTTTTATATCTCTTTCTTTTTCCAGAAAGAGAGAATCCTTATATATTCTAGTTAATCTTCAATCTTAAAAAAAATTATAAAGTAAAATCTATGATATATTGACATATTTGATATGTAATATAGAATTCTCCCTTTTTTTCAATATTAAAGTAGATGTGACATATTTTCAACATAAGAAATGAAAAACGTAATCTTATTTTTTATCGAAGTCTTATAAATTTTGATAAAAAATTAATCTATTTTTTCTTTATCAAACAATTAAATTTAATAAAATATTGAGACTACAGTGAATAGGTCCGTCAGCTGGTAATAGTGCGGCTGATGATCAAATAGAATTAGGCATCACTAAATGTAGTGTCTTTGCGGCGCTAAATTTAAAATAAAAATCATTTATATGCTTTATTGGATTCTTATAAATTTAAATTTTAAAATAATTGTATTTTGACATAATATATAAATTTAATATTTTTTTAAATAAAAAATTTTACGTTTTAAAAAATTTAATATATGAAATTTTTTAGAAAATTGAAGAGAGAGCGATCATATCTGTAAGAAAATTATTTATAATTACAAATATTAAATATTGAAAGTTATAAGAGCCAGACGTGAATGATCGTGAGGCAGTTTTACAGAAAATTAATTTTTCTGTGAAACTGATTAATGTGCACAGGGCATGGATTTTTCTTGATTAAACTAAGTCAATTTAATCAATTCGAGATACTGTCTTATCCCTCCCCCCTGAGAAAAATTCTCGAATTAAGATTAAATTGATTCATGCCCTAAGCACATTAATCAGTTTAAAAAAATTAATTTTCTATGGATTTAACGCACGACCATCTGCTCTTATAACTTTCGATATTTAATATTTGTAAAATTATTTATTTTTTAATAATGTATTTATTTTTCAATAATGTATTTATAATTTGAACATTATTTTATGAAAAAACTACAACATTTTAAACAGCACACATGTCCAAAAGATGTCTAAAAGACAATTTAAAGTACTTGTCTTTAACACGTCTTTAAGATGTCTTTTAACCTTTCTGTGCTATCTGGGATTTATTTTATATAAAATGAAGATTTTTCTGAAATATTATTTTTAGAGAGAAATTAATATTAGAATTTATAAATATATATATCCTTCCACAAGCATCAGTGACGAATTCAATATAACAGCGTTATCAATCAGTATTTGCAAAGAGATTTACTGTCTATTAATATCGCAGTACAAGGTCAGCTTGGATAGAAATAGAAATGGCCACATTTATATCTTCTATTAAGCTGTGCGTTTGAAAAGTAGCACGGGGGTTGCTTTGTAATTTGCAACGTATTTCAAAGGAAGCTTATAAAGCCTAGTGTCAAGCAAGTGATCATTTCCATGATCTTTATGCGATTATATTCCATGATGCAAAATACTCTTTTTTTAAAAAAAAAGCATAAAAATGGAATCATACAATATTATTGACTATATTTTTAAATATTTTCATAAAAATAGAGCACTGAATAAAAAAAAAAAGAATTGAAGGGCATTTTGACATTATGGTAATATTTTTTTTTCATAAGCACAAGAATAGAACAACGTACAAGTTATAAACATACACAAGTTATTGATTATTTTTAAAATATTTTTATAAAAATAGAGTAATGGGAAAAAAGGAATCGAAGAATTTTTCTCTTGAAATAGTTCACTGTTACCCTCATGTATTACTCAGGCAGTCATGATTAATCTGCGGAAAATGTAGTGCAACGGTTTCGAATTACCTGGCCGCAATGTGCCTCAAAGAAAAAAAAAACAAGCCACCTGAGAGATCGACTTGAGATTTATCGGTGATAAGTCGATGATAAAAATTCAGCTGGGATGATGCAGGAAACGTCCGTGTCCCGTTGGGGAGATCGCTTTATGCGTGTTTCGTGCTTTCACGTTGAGAAACGACGTAATTCAGTCGGGGTAAAATAAGCCAAAAGTGACGTGAGGAAGAAATCGTTGTCAAGGAATCGCGCGAAGAATCTGGACGGACACGTCCGCGAGTTTTTCTTTATAATCGACATAACACGACGATCACAGAATGGTTTGTTGATTGGCCGTCATTGTCGGTCGGCCGTGAGGAATTTCACGGGCCTCTACGAAACGATAAAACCCATTCACCCCGGGGAGGACAGTGTCTACACGCGTCTATAAATCCTCGCAGTCATCGGCAACAACTAACAGCGTAATGGATCCAGACATTCCACGGGATAGCGGTGCTCTAAGGCGCCGTAGATCATCGACATGCAGGATTAACGTCATCGGGATTAGCAATATTATAAGACGCAAGGATATTTCCAGTTGGAAAACGACGCGAAACGGCCAACAAGAAACTGATGATATCGAATAGTCGTAATGGCGAGATTACCGTTGAATACGGTTAAGCAATTCTCGTAATGCAACACTAGTTTCCATAATAATCGCTGTATTTATCGCTTCAGATGTAGGTAATAAAAGTCGCGAATAAATTCTTCCCGGTGATCCTTGGACGATTCTTTCTATCTAAAGAAACTAAACTAAATTATCTCAAGAGACTGAGCTATCTAAACTATTTGAGGAAATAAATATAGTGTTTTCATAAAAATTAATACTAGAGTATAAACCAAAGAGACGATCCGAATGAAGAGATCTATTCACGCACTGAGAAAAATCATTTGATTGTATCAACAAGACTATGATTGAAGGCATTTTGGTTAAATCAAACAAGAATTTCTAGTTATCATGATAAGACTCGATTTTTTATAACTTGAACGTTTAATAAATTTTATTATAAGGATTTGGTTAGTATTTTCCGGTTGGATCTATAAAATTTCTTGTTACATTAATTTCTTTGCTTGCTTCTTAACTTAATTCGTATTCAATATTTGCCATGAAATGTATATAAAGAACTAGTATTAACATTAAATCCAAAGTATATTTTTTTTCTCTTAGCAGTAGTGCCAGAAAGAGGACACTAGCTCTCTGATTGTGTGTGTTTGAGCAGCATCCTCTTCCTGCATCGCTGTTTATCAGTTTAATTTCTAACAAACTGAACTTAAAATAATTTATTCAATAATCTTGATTGAATTTATGCAATAATTGTGTTAGAATTTAAAATATTGAACAGACTTTTGATTAGATGGGAAAAATTTCAGACGATTTGATGCTAGCAAATTTAGTATTATTAACCAGAAAATTTGATAAATTTAACAGAAAGAAATTAATCAGATTTATCTAGTAATTTCTACAAGAATTCTGATTCGTCCATTTCCCAACAGACATACTGGTTGAATCTACCAGAATTCTAATTAATGCAACCAGATTTTTTTCTCAGTGCGTCAGCATTCGATTCAAGTTTCCATTAACCCCGTGATAATCAACGTCAAGAGCAAGAGATGCGTCCTGTAGTCTTTCGATGCCGGCTAGTCGAGAACCTATAAATACATAGTGTGTATAATAGATACACATCCGTTCTCCAGTCTTCCGTACAATTTTCTATGATCGCCCGCTGCCATATCGGTTGCCTGCCGGCAGCGCTAAGCTTCTTAGCATCCGGTGGACCACTGTAAACTGCCTCTCGATTTAGGTGTTGGAGCACCATGCCAGCTGCACGACGCTGTCAACGTTGCCGTCTCGTCGAGGAGGCATCAATGGTTGGAACCAAGACAAGCGATTGCTGGCAACGCCGCGGAATCTTCGACCAATATATCCGGCACGTGGCTCTTTTCATACCTCGATCAAATCGAGCAGATCGGAGTAATCAGTAAGCCCGACAGAGCCGTTCGGTCGCGCCGCTTCTGCAGCAGATGAACGTGGACGGTCTCGAATGCACGGATGTATGTATCGCGCACGATTGCTTACTGTTTATCGAATTAAATTCCCTCGGATAATGCTGCGTTTGATCGCAAACAATATAAACGTCGTCTGGCATAAACATGTCGGGAGGAGGTATAAGCATTAGAAGACGCTACATCATCTCGTTAAATTATAATTATGAAAAGAGAGAGGTTTAACGCTGAATGTTTAACGGATCATGGTACATATAAATGCAATTACTGCAGGTGGAATTCAGACGTTGCATCGTAATGAGAGCGTTTATGACAACTTTAAGATGATTATCTTCGTGATAAGCTGTTATCGCGCTGTCCGCGTCTCGGTTGTTTAATTTTGCAATCAGCTGCTTTCCCTAAAATATTTCGGCGGCGCACATATAGTATCTTTTGACGCAGGAATGTGTTATTTGTTTGATTAGCCGAGCCGAATTTTCGAGTAATATCTCTTGTGTTTACAACTGCTCGAGTGAGCTCGACGTACTTGGTGTACTAGAGCCATTCAAGTTGAACGAAGCGAATAACAGCGTCAAAAAGAGATGGAGAGAAGGAGGGAGAGAGGACAGAGAGATGATTGAGATATGCTGCGTTCGCGATAACTCCAATAACAAGTCAGTCTTGACTTAATCTTTTCGAGATTTAATCTTCATTAAACGTGTAAAAATACAAATATATTAATGTATTTGTGTAAATTAATTTATACACAAGATAAGGAGTTGAAAAAAAATTTTTCTCCAAAATATTCTGTAACGCGAATTCTCAGTTAACGTGAATTATCTGTGAGTTTAAAACTCGGCTCTTTGCATGTTTAGTCGACGACGAAAAGATACGCAGTTTGAATCGAACTGATAACGGGATAAGATTCGCAAGATTCTGCAAACATCAACTTTGTTTCGCGAAATTCAAATTTAAGGCTTAAGGTTGGAATTTGGTTTGGGTAAAGTACTTTTATAAGTTAATAACAATGTTAGTTTTAATAATTAATCATATTACTCCAATATTATGGAGAAAATTGTCTACTGAATATATTGTTAAAATTAATTTTTACAAGTGACATTTTGCAATTATATGCGTCTGGAAAAATATTAAGTTAAAATGTCATTTGATAGGAATTAGAGAAAGCAGCCGGATAATTACTTCTCCGTTAGTGAATCGCAATTGTTAATAAAAGAAAGCGTGTATGTATCAGAACCAAGACTGAAATATCTATTGCGTGTTCTGGATATTCGAATCACGTGCTCCAAGATCGCGTGAAAATCAGTTTCGGAATAGTGACGGCGGTCAGTTACGTGACTAATATCTTAATATATATATCGCGAAATATTTAGCCGGCGTAACGAGAGCAACCACGCGATGAGATGTTTGAATCCGAGATTTCTCCCGCCTAAGCGAAATAAGAACCTCGACTAAGGAACTTATAGACGCACGATCGCGCTGGATTTCTCGGTAGTACCATATACAATTTTAAATAAAATTTAAAAAAAAGTATATTTCCATCAAATAAAGAATATCGAAAATAAAAGTCTAGAGAAAATTAAATGCTCACCTGTATAAAACGTAATTAAAACCTCAAATTAAAACCTTCTTAAGGATGTTTTGTATGTACAATCCCAGCTAAAAATCAATATTGATGAATATATCCACCTTTGGTGTATTTTGAGTAAGAAATTGTGAGGAATATTACAATTCGATAGCTACAGTGCAGAGATGTATTTTTTAATATTTATTGCGTTTTTACTGAAATATTTCGAATTTTGTGAATCGAAATGATTAGCTTTTGGCAGAGAATTTTGCCATGTGACAGATACATGTGATGGTTAATTTCATTGAATCATATTTAACATCTTTTTAACCAGTTAATACTTGTATAATATTATTTGAGCAAATATTTCCTCCGTATTTAAACTTTTGCAAATTTTAAACAAATTCTGAATATTATTTCCATGTGTTTTTGTCATTTGAATCGACGTGGTTATACGTTTCCCATAAGAACACATGTTAATTCGGTGCAAATTAAAATCCTTACAACTTGTGAACGCTTTAGTGAATCGATTTAAAAATTGTACTGAAGATTCTAAACATATGTAAGGACATTCTGTACAATTTTCATTAAATTCTCAATATTTTGAAAATAGATACAAAACATCCTTAAGACAAATGATAGACAAAGAGAGAAAGAGGAATGTGGAGATGCTTATATTAATTAAATTGATAATAAAACATTAATTGTATTAATTTAATTCATATATAATACAACCGATTAAGGAGGGTAAAATTTTCTTTATTAACGAAATTAATATCCCCCTGCCAGCGTGCCTCGTCGGCAAGGACAATCTCGGCCGTAGAATCTCCTTTCGCCGAGGGGGAGTTAGCGCGAAGGAGGCATGGGGGCCCCTCCGGTCAGATTAGGCCCCGTCGGACCCCTCTTGCTCGCTCTCCCGCGCCGTCGAAGCCGTTCCATCGTGCCGGTCTGTGTTCGCCTTGCCTTGCCTTGCCTCGTGCATTCGCGCCATGGTCACTCGCGTCTCGGGCCAGCTGGATCCGGGCAGTCTTACGTCGGTCCCGTCGTCGTCGTCCTCGTCGTCGTCGTCGTCGTGAACGACGTGAACCGACTCTTCGTAACTCTCTGATGTAACTCCCTCCTCTCTGCACCCGTGAAACCGCATCGCGGCCGCCTTGTATCGCCGCGATTACGCACACGGACGGATCGCGCACACACGCGCACGCACGCACGCACGCCTGCGAGAGAGTCGCGCCGAGAGCGGACCCAACGATCCCGTAGATCGCCCGCGAACGCCTGCGACGCGTCCTCGCGCGCGCCGGGACCGATCCGCGCTGATTTCGCGAGAGTGCGGCTTTTGTCGAGGTTCACCCTTGTCGGGGATGAAGGACGTGGGAATCGGCAGGACCTGTGACCTGTGTCTCGCGGATCCTGCTCTGATAGCGACTCGTTGGGTTCATCAAGAATTGACTCCAACCCAAGTTTTAAGTGTGTTATTGTTCTCTTGTGGAAACCGTGAGATCTTCTCTTCTGTGTATGTGTGTGTATGTGTCAAGCTTTGCTTTCGAAGCATGGGAGATTGAGAAAATCTGAATGATAGACTAAGAAGAAAATGTCGTTGATCATCTATTTGTCCTGATAGGCGATGGTTCCTTGGGATGATGATCGAGAGAAGAATGTAAGAACAGAGTCAGGACAGGATTGAAGCAAAGTGGGAAAGTGCAAGCTGCGATTTACCATCGCGAAATAGCTCCCTCGATATGACCAAGTAACGACATTGCTCCGATATATGGATCGGTTCGCGGATCATAACTCACGCTGCAGCATCGTTTCTCTTTGATTCGCCAGACACGTAGAATATTGGCGCAATAAAACTTTCCAGACAATCGGACGGATCACTTTGCGAACTGAACGTTCTCCATTAAGCTGATCGTAAAAGGCAAAATATTGCGGATTTTTGGCGGCGACGATCTGTCGAACCGGAAAGAAACCAAGCTCGTCGGAAGGATCCGAAGGGAAGGAGCGAGATTGGGAGGAAGTGAGAGATATCTAGATTTGTAGAACGGCTTGTGCGTCGAGCTCTGATGTGTGCCACGGATCTATCTCGTGCCAGTGCTCGCGTTTGAGCAAGATCGTCTCCCCGGATCTTTCCATGGTGAATCGAGATCGCCGATCTTCTCATGCGATTGACGCGAACGACGCGCGACGTACCGAGAACGATGCGGTGAGTGCGGACGCACTTGACTCGAGAGAATTCGCGGGCTCGCGGGGCCGCTCAGCTGGCGATACATCTCGCTGACGGATATTGGATCATGGATCTGCGCGTTGTCGTTCAGCGACCGTACTTTCTCAGGTGGAATCGCGCGGAGGACATCGGCGAAAGTATCTTCGATCGTTCACAGAAGTAAGTCTGACTATTGTCCTACAACCGGGACGCGTCGGGTGTACGATTCAAAGATTACGGGAGATGATAGCCCGATTTTATGGATGTCACGAGAGATAAGTTTCTTCAAGAATTTGGAAACGAGCCGGATCCTTAAACGCGGTGAAACGTGAGAGGTTTAAGAAGTGGGATCTTTATATGATGACGATTTTAGAATCCCGAGATTTTAGATTTCTATGAATTCTCAGACGCCAACACATCACGAAAGAAAGAATAGAGTTGGAGGTGCGACCCCGAGATCTCATCAAATGACTCGGATTTTGTATATTTTTAAAATCTTCCCTCATCCTTAATGAAAAATGCAATCTCCGCATTCAATAATTTTCAGAATCAAATATCAAGGCGCCAATATATGTATGGTATTAAGGGTTAAGTCTCTGCTCGAATTTAGACATTTGCGTGAATCCTGAAGACTTGAGGTGTGACAGCTGGCACGAGGCAGATGATAAGAATTTAATATCGCCAAAAATTGGCAGGAATACGCTTTCTTTCGACGAACCCCTCGCGCTTGCGACTCAGCGCGCCTTCTTGGCCCTGAAGCCGGAGCGACGTTCGCCAGTACGTCCTTGATTTTCTCTCGATTAGTATCCATGCGCGCGGCGGATCGCCCGTTATTGAAGGAGGAAAAAGTGCCGGGCGTCGTTCCGGTTGGCCGTTTCGGTTCAACGGCCCGCGCTCTGAAACGGCCTGTATCAACGGCCCGTGCAACCGCCGTTGATACAGGCCGTTGACGCGAGCACACAATGCCGATTCTTTGCACGTTACGTACGACGAGCGTGGCTTCCGGGATTGCTTAGGATTACCTACGCTGAACTTTCACCGATCGGCAAAAAATCGCCATGTTTTCCGCTCGAACAACGCCACGGGACGAGGGAACGTTATATTTATAAATGCCGACGTGATCTTCCCATTGTGCTTTGTATCCGCGATCTGCGATTTTTTCCCGTCCTATCTTTCTCCCCCTGCAGCCAATGTTCGGTATAAAAATAATTCTCTGTACGTATTATTAATTAATTTTATTAATTAATTTTTTAATTCATTTTATTAATTAATTTTTTTAATATTATATTTTTATTAGATATTATATATATATTACTCTTTTTCTCTCTCTTTCTATTTGATTTATCAAATTTATTCTTCGTGAATTTTTTTTTTCAACAATTTATCTCCACAAGATTTCGGGTAGAAGTTAAAAATTTATCTCGTGTATATCTTAATTCGTTCTAATTTTAGCAGAGACCGGTATGTAGATTATCAGGTTGACTGAAAAGAACGCTCTACTCTGTGGAATTTCTAATGTTTGCCACGCTTATCGAATGTTTGCTTTCTTTCCTCAAATTAATTATCGAAACCTACGATGCCGTCGAGCGTGAAGTACGAATCGTCTTGAGAGGAACGGGAGGGTAAACAAGAAGAAATTCCATCGGGCGGCCTACTGCTTCTGGCAGTTGATTATACAAATGGCACAAGTCTTATTTTCTTTTCACTGGGCTTATTGTATTTGTAGTTACGTAAGCGTTCAAGAAATTTTGCGCACAAAACGCGACAGTCAGGTTAATCACCTGATATCTACACTTGTATTAAGACAGGTGCGAAAGCGTGCAATTCAGATTTCCTCCGCTGCAGAATTTTCTTTTTCGTCGTTCGAAAATGATAACGTGACAATCCTTTTCCTTTTTTTTTTATTTTATTACGATATGGCAGCCATATGAATTATTATTATTAATATTAGTGATAAATAAATTTTGAAATTATTTTTAAAAATTTTAACAAACTTTTTGTTTTATATTATACGATGAACATGTCTTTTTTGCAAAATTCAATGCGTATGAGAATTAATTTATAATTTCATGTATTTTATTATTAAAGTCTATATTTTGTATAGAATTAATAATAAAATTATAAATTAATTGATATATATTAAATTTTTCGTAGAATATGCTAGGCATTAATAACGTTTTAATTATATATTTAATTAATTAGTGAAAATTTAAGAGAGAACTTCTACGACATAAACTTCAAACTCTCTTGGATAGTAATAGCTCATTAATATTAATTCCGCTTTAGAGAGTACTTTAACAAAATCCCGAAAAAATATAAGTCTATTAGAGAAAATTACAAGCACACACAAATAGCTAAAGTTGAATATAAAGAAGGAAAAACGGATAAAAGTTTCTTCCAAAACAAGATACAAATTTGTCGACGTAGCGGTAGGACCGACACAGGTACACCGTAATTACTTATCGAAAGGTACGACTGCGTTGCAAAACGACAAAATAAATCCAGGGACGAAAGATCAGATTAGATCTCGCAGTAATCTCTACCACCCAAGAAATGCACGGTGGAACGATGTAACTGAAGAGTAAACCGGGGACAGTTTCGCTCGATGCAGCTGATTAACCCGCGTTTCTCTCTCCCTCTTTCTCCCTCTTCCTTTCCGATCTTATTGCCGATGAGGCTGTTAATTCCTGTTGCGGCGCGCCCTGCGAATTCCAGCGGGCAGTCGAAGAGAATCAATGGCATCCGGTGCGTTTCGTCCGCGGACACGAAGAGGGATGTTCCTGGTCGCGGCCACTGGTTCTCCAAAGGCACGACGTATAAATACCGCTTGGTCGCGAACCCTCCCCCCCCTCCTCCTCCTCCGCCATCGTCTCCTTTCGTCGTCTCCTCTCCTGCTTCTTCCCTCCTTGGCCCGTGGTGTCTATTTAGATAATCTTCCGCTTGGCGGGAGCGGCACTCGATGCCGTAGGGGAGCCTCTCTTCCTCGCGGTGGCTTCTATCAAGGTGGCATCGTGTTCCTCGTTTGTGGATCGGCGATTGTCCCCTCTCGCCCCTCCTTCACCTCCCGTTCCTTTCGCGATCGCCGTTAGTTCCCGGTGAAGCTTTTTGGCATCCGCCACGCCCGTGCGCGAATTCAGATCTCGTGATCCGTGCGACGGCCTTGGGGAGAATCCCGAGGAAAATCTCGAGGAAAATCCCGAACGTGGTGCCGCCGAGAGCACCGAAGAGAACTCGAGAAGAAATCTCGAAGGGAGGTGACGTCTCGATGAAAATGTCGAGGACGCTCTCAAGAGGCGTCTTGAAGAAGAACTTTGAACAACATCTTGAGGAAAAGCACGTGAAATATTTGGACAAGTTTTTAGGAGAAATATCTCTGCATTATTTTTCCGAAATAGAAATATCGATGACAAGAACTTGGAGTCAAATGTAAAAGGAAAGCCATGTAATTTGTAGAAATAATCTTGACATACAATAGCGCACACGGTATATGATTTTAAAGTAAATCTAGCAGAAGAATTAGAGGATTCTTGACAAGAAGTCTTGATAGTAGATCGAAAGGGACTCTCTTTGCTTCTTTCTTCCTCTTAAATACTACTCGAGCCTGACGTGATATCGGGAGTTTTCGAAAAACAATACGGTGAGCATCGAAGCATACGGAATGAGAAGAGATGCTTTAGTTAGCGACTACAGTGCTGATGGCGACGGAGATCGCTGATGCCGACGAATTTATTCTGGGAGGGTATGTACCTGGTGTGCCGACCGTTGACTGACTCGTAAGTTGTTTGTTTGGCGTGAGGCCGATAGGAATATTTGCATATTGTGAAGATAAACGGAACAGTAGCTTCGGCTACTGTTCATAAACTATAGTTTCTCTCTTTATGATTTCGCTCCAGGTTCGCTTCAACTCATTTGATGGAGCAGCTCGTATCTCTCGTGAAATTTTTCACATATTTTCTATTTTTGTACAAACATTGAAACTAAATGGATTGATATTTACTTTCACGATATCGATATTTTTCATACATCGATGCAATTCAATTTAATTCGCATCAATTTTCTTTATATACCTTTCTAGTTAAACATATTTTATAGAGATTTTATAAGATACGTTTCTATGTCAATTTATCTATTTTAATTTTATATATCTCTCAATAAGTTGCATTAACTGCATTAATAAAAATGCTAACTTTCTTAGCGATATGCAAAAAGCATAATGAAAAATAATAATAGACATTTATTTTCTTATTACATGAGCGCCATTTTTATGATTGCGATCAATACTACTGATCCCTATTGATGTTTCTGTAATAATTCCAAAAGAAGAAAAATAAATAGCACCTAGATCCGAGATGTCGATATTAATTGTTAACCAAATATTCGAATTCTCTCAATCGCGATACGTTATCAGGATAATGTGTTATACATGTTCAATAAAGAAGCTACCGACTTTGCGATGATATGGTTTGTCATTACATTAGCTAATTTGCCGAAGAGCAAATGCTTGTTCCATATTTTTTTTGTACTTATTTTTCTGCAAGTTTTCCCTTGTGGTTAAACTAGATTAATACGAGTTCGATACGATTCGAGTGCGTTTACATTAGATACTGCAATTTCTACAATATTAGAACGAAGAAATATAAAGGAGAATTCCTTGTAAAAATATATTTAAAAATATCCATCTAAATTAAAGTATTCCATGAAATAATGTCTTCGTAACGACTTTTTCGGGCGTTATTTAAATACAGTTATTCTTAAACAAGTATTTCATTCGTGTTACTTCCGTCGCCTGGAATGTCCCAACACGAGTCATCGAGCGGCGGCGAGTCAGATATAAATATCGCTACTTCAATTTTCTTAAGGAGAAACACAGTTACTCACCACGGCAAAAATATCATGTCACTTCTCGCATGACTTTAATAAATGATTAATTAATGACGCAATCTCATCGAAAGTGACGCGAGAGGATATAAATTAACTTTTCAGTGCAGCTGCGATCATGCATATATCGCAAACGGAGATAGATACAAGTAAAAGTATTCTCCCATCAGAATTTAAGCATTGATTTATAATGCGTTTGTTTAGACTTAGATCGCGAATTAATTTATTGATCAATGACGAATGGTCGTTAAATCATGAGGATTAGTCTGATTTAAATCGCGTTCTCTTAATTAAAGCAAATA